CACCCCACCTTATACCCTCCCCCCTCACACTTCTCCTTCCTTCACTTTACCTCACCCCACCTCACAACCTTCCGTGCCTTACACCCTTCCTCCCCTAACCCCCCGCCTCACCTCTAGAGCATTTCAGCCTCACACCCTATCGCAACTCCTGCCCCATCCACCTTACACCCAGCTCTCCTCACTGTCCCTCTGATCACACCTCATCTGCGGAGGGGCAAGGTGGGTTTGTGCAGGGAAATGGAGAGGTAGATTTGTGGCAGAAGGAGGGAGGGCTGCAGCAACCTTGGCCGCAGGCATTTCAGCTCCTCCCTGGTGCTTGGGGGTGTTGTCTGCTGCTCTGAAACCTGCTCCCCTGTGCTCTGTGCTCCTGCAGCCCCAGTGAACGCCAGGGCTGGTGTCCTGAGGCCATATGCCCCCAGCTCGGCCTCGGTGCCCACACCCCCAGCACCCGCGTTTTACGAGGCAGCTTTATGACATTCATTACCTGCTCTGCAGGCCGCCTTCGAGCAGCTGTCATTTGTCCAAACGCAGTAAAACCTATCATCCCTCTTCCTGGAGTGGAAACAGTCTCCTCCCCACCTTTGAGCAACGGGCGGTCACTGAGCCTGAGGAGGAAGCACGGAGGTGGCAAGGGAAGCTTGGCGCAGCGTCTCCTGTGCCCAGCAGAGGCCTGTCCTGCCTCCTTTTAGAGGAGTCACCTGTCTGCCCATTCATTCATCGGTCTGCCCACCCTCCATACACCTTCCCTCCACTCACCTACGAATTCATTCACACATTTGTCCTGTCTGCCTGGTAACCCACCCGTCTGTTCCTCCAGTTGTCCTGTACCCATCCATCCAGTTATTCTTATATATTCATGTCTATTCATATATATTCTTATATCCCGCAGTAGATTCTACTCATCTGTCCATCTCATCCATTCATGTCTGTCCATCCTCATGTCCGCCACTTGCCCTCCCTCCATCTAACTCTCTAATTGTCTGTCCATCCATCTGTCCAGTCATACATTCATTCATCCCTTCATACATCTATCTCTCCATCTGTCCATCTAACCATTCATTTGTCCATCTGTCTGGTCAGATGTCCATATAACCATCTGCCCATGGACTCATCTGCCTGTCCATCCACCCAGCCATGAATCCATCTCTCTCCTTGTTACTTTGCCCCCTCATCCATCCATCCATCCATCTATCCATCCATCCATCCACCCACCCATCCACCCCACCTTCCATACTTGAATCCATTCACCTGCCTGTCCGTATGTCTAACCACCATGCACTCTCCCTCCTTCCCTCCATCCATTCACTCATCTTGGCATCCATCCCTCATTCGTCCACCATCCATCCACCTATTTGTCTTTCTTCCCATCCACTCATCATTCTCCTCTCTCCGTCTATCCTTATTTCTATCATCCACCTTAATTCCAGCCGTCCGTCTGTTTATTCACCCATCAGTCAGTCTGTCTTTCCATCTATCCATCCTTCACTCTCCCTTTCTATATCCATCCATTCCTCTACTTATTCCCCTGTCCACGTGTCTGTCCATCACCCCCCTTTTGCCTCAGGCCCTGGACTGCAGCCATGATCACGTGTCGAACCCTTCCCTGTGGGTTGCT